GGGGGGGGGGCGCTGCACGTGCCCCGGCGCGGCCGCTCACGCGCTCTCCCCGCAGGCCGGCGAGGCCTTCATGACGGACGACTGCAGCCGCGCGTGCACGTGCACCGACAGCTCCAGCGCCTCCTGCGTCGCCACGGCCTGCGGCCCCGGGGAGCTCTGCGCCGTGGCCAACTTCACCCGCGGGTGCTACAGCCGTGAGTGCCTCGCCTGCGCGGGGGGGGGCGCGGCGGGGGGCGGGGGGCCCGGGCCGGCTTGGGGGGACGCGGGCCGGCCTGGCCCGGGCGCCCGTGGGGGCGCTCCTGACGCTCTTCGCCCGCGCAGCCGGCCCCTGCCTGCCGAGCCCGTGCCTGAACGACGGCGTGTGCATCGCGACGGGCAGCGCCGCAGCCGCCTTCCTCTGCCAGTGCCCCGCGGGCTTCAGCGGACCGCTGTGCGAGACCGAGACCGAGACCGGGCCTGGGACGGAACCGGCGCCCCCAACAGGTAGAGCCGCCTCTCCCGCTGTCAGCCCCACGTGCTTCAGGCCCCACGAAACCGGCTGTGGGCTTCAGCCGGCATGCAACCCAGGGCCACGGGGAGAGGCGTGGGGGGCCCTGGCTCTGCTGGCGTACGAGGAGCAGGGGCGCCTCGGGCGGCCAGGAGCCCCTTTGCCAGCAGCCGATTAAGTGCCAAGCGGCGCCCGCGACCGGTGTGGCTGGCCGTGGGCTGGTGCGCACCGTGCCACACAGCCCCCTCCTCCGGCCAAAGCGGGCTGGCCTGGGGTGCGGCAGGAGGGGCGCACTTGACCACGCGAGGCGGGCTGGGCACGAGGGGACCGGAGCCGCCTCCCAGCGGTGGCCCTCAACCCTCCCTGCATCTGCGAGCGAGAACATGCACAGGTTAGCGGAAGCCGCTGCAGAGCTGCCAACGGACCGAGCCTGGCTGGCGGCGGCCCATGCTGGCCCTGCGACGTTGCAGGCGGCTCCTCTGCCCCGCGTCTCTGGCGGAGCGCCCCGTGAGCCGTGCAGTGCCTTGCAGTGGCGCCCTTGGGGGGTCCTGGGAGGGGGCGCAGTCCAGAGGGCTCGTTGCCCACCCTGGCCAGTCCTCCTGCAGCCCCCAAACGAGACCATGCAAGGGAGCTCACTCTTCTGCAAGAAACCGAGGGGCAGAGGGCGGTCTGGGGGCCACGAGGGGCAGGGGAGGGTCTCCCCGCCCCTGGGCCAGGAGGGGCCCAGCCGGCCCAGCACGTTCCTCATCCCCTCTGGCTGTTCTCTGCTGCTAGGACGCCCCCCAGCCTGGGACCGCGAGGCCGTTTACATCGCCGTGGGCGTCGCACTGGCTCTGGTCGCCCTCACCTTGGTCGCCGCAGTCGTGTCCTGCTCGTGCCTTTCCAGGTAGCCCCCCACCCCCCCCAGCCAGGCGAGGGGGAGACGCAGGGCCAGGAGGAGGCCCCGGTGGGAGGCAGCGGGAGTGTGGGGTGGGTGTTGCGTGAGGGGCGGGTCGCGTGGGGCTGTGCGGGAGGCGCAGTGCGCGGCCCCCCTCCTGGGGAAGCCCCCCGCGCCCGCTGGGGCTTGTCGCGTGTGGAAGGAGGTTCCGCTACGGGACTTGCTGCGTGTGGCGCAGTCGGCTGCGTGACGTCTAGGGACCAATCTTGCAGTGGGGCGGGGGAAAGTCCCACTGGGTGTTCCAACCAGCCGTGGGGCTCGGTGAGGACCCCCGGAAAGAGAAGCGGGGGCTGCGAATGGGAAGCTGAGGAGCCTGACAGCGGGCAGGAGGGCCACGAAGGGCCGCCTCGCGCGGGGAGGTCCTGAGCAAGCCGCCCTCGGGAGCAGCCAAGAGCCGCGCTGGACGCCGAGGGGGAGCGACGCTCTGGGGCGGCGTGGCCCGTCCACCCTCTATGGGGAGTCTCTCTTCTTGACAGAAGGCGCGCCCGGATCCCGCCCCCAGCAGTGGCAGCAGCCCCGGTGACTCCGCAGCCTCCCGCGCTCTTCCCGCGTGCTCAGCTAGGCCTTGGCTACGTGGCCAACCCGGCCTTCGAGCAGGACTAAGTCCCCAGCTCTCGGGCTCTTCCTCAGCACCTGCGACACCCCTGGGGCCGGTTTCCCCTCCAGCCCCATCTTGACTTCTGAAGCTTTCCCCTCAAAATAAATTGGAACTTTTACTGAAGACTGAGACTGGTTTCTCTGCTGCACAAGCCGTTTATTTACACCCGAAGTCCTGTGAGGTGTTCAGGCGATGCTGTGCTTACTGTGATCATGCCCACCGAAAGCAGCCCCCACCCGCAGCCCCCTCCCTCCCCACGCAGCCTGCCATTTCTGCTTCGTGGAATAGCAGGGAGGGCTGGAGGGGCCAGAAGGCCCTCGGCTCCCACGCCTGCTGCTCGGCTCGCCCACGGTCCTGCTGGCCGGGCAGAGCAAAGCACCTGCTGGTTTCCTCTGGGAAGGCCCGTCCGAGGTCAGACTGGTCTGGAAGGCGGATGTGGCAGCCCCTCGAGGTGGCCCTCAGGCGGGGCGGGTGGCTGGCATGGCTTGTTGCCCCGGCAGAGGGACGGCAGCCGCAGCCTCTCGCCCCAGGTGGCCTCAGCCTTGGTGTGCTCGGATCCGTTCCTGGCAGTGGCAAAACCTTTATTGGCCTATTCACGGAGCGGGGGGGGACGGGGCACCCCATGGCCTGCTTGCAGGTCCTCTTTGTGGCGGGTGCAGGAACCCCCGCCCGCACTCGCGGTGCGTCTCATTCAGCCGGGCGCTCGCTCCCCTCGTAGGCCAGGTTGACGTAGGCCTCGCTTCTCCCGTCCTCCGCGAAGTCCCTCCGGCCGCAGGGAGGCCACGTGGGGTCCCGCTCCAGCCGCCGCTGCAGCTTCCGGTAGCGGCTCGAGGAACGGAACCGAAACAGGGCCTTGATGAGCAGCCAGAGGCGGTGGTTCTGCAGGATCGCATCCTGCAAGGGGGAGACCCACGGGCCAACCTGGCTCAGCTCTGGTGGGGGTCACCCTTGCTTTTGGGGCTGGGCAGGAGCACCCGTGGGGAGGCGACCCCTCCTGCAGGAATGAGGGCACTCCCGAGACCGGGGCTGCCTTGGGAGAACCTGGCCACCCGCCCACCCTCCTGAGAGGCAAAGGTGGCCCTGCAGGACCAGTCCCGCCTCCTCCCCCTGCCGGCAGGGTGGCCCGTGCTGCCAGGCGAGGGGCTCTTCCACGCGATCCCCCCACCCCGGGGAGGTCTTGCCACCGTTCCTATCCTAGAGCGAAGCCAGGAGAGACTCGCACAGCGGCTTCTCCCCCACCCGCTCCGTGCGTGGAATGTTTGCACACCTAAGCCCATTTCTATGACCCCCCCGAAAGAAGCCCAGCAATGACAGCGGGGGGTATTCCCATCATGCATTATCTTGCTCGCGAGCCCCCACATGACGGCTGCTGGGCCCAGAGGCGGGAAGGGGGGTGACGTCTCCAGAGGCCAAGGGACCATTTCCTGGGCTGCCCCCGGAGCCCTCCGCCCGGGAGGAGCCGGTGCCCGCTTACCTCCACAAATAGAGAGACGGCGAAGGTGACCACCAGCATGATCAGGACATAGACCCTCCAGAGGGTGGGCATGCACAGCAGCTGAGGGGAGGGGAGGGAGGGGAGGGTGAGACCCCAGTCTGGTACAGCCCTTCCCTCAGGGCTGCCAGGTGGTGATCGTAACATCCCAGGGGGCTCGAGTGACTGTGGACCCGGTCCTGCAACCACCAGGGCTGCTGTTTTGGTCTCTGGCCAGCAGAGGGAGCCCTGGTGCTGCCTGAGAACCTCACGGGGGGCGGATCTGGGGGCCCGGCTCCAGCCGTGGGGCGACGCCGATTGCCCCCAGCGCTCCTCTTCATCCGTGCCGGTGGCCCGGAATCCGGCGCCGAGGGGCGCTCCCAGGGAAAGCGCCCCCCTCACCTGCATCCCCCGGTACACGGCCTCGATGTCAGCAAAGAACAGGAACAGGCAAACCCCGAGCTGGAGGCACAGCAGGCCGAAGAAGAGGTCTGGGGGAGCAGAAGGGGGGCGTGACTCCCTGGAGGTGGAGGGGCCCCCGAGGGGGCCCGGCCAGGAGTCAACAAGCCAGCCGTGCTGCGCTGCCCTCCGGGGAAGGGGAGCTGCCTGCCCTGGAAGCCCCCCTTCCGGACAGCGCCGCACGCGGGCGAGGGTCTTCCCTGCCTGCAGCGGTGCGGTGCGTGTGGGGCTCAGGCGGCCCAGAGCCCTCCCGAGAAGTCCCCCTCCGAAGGCACAGCCCTTGGCCCGCCTGCGCCAGGCAGCAGCAACGCGGGGCCATGAGAAGGCGTGCTGCGGTAGCGTGCAGAGTGCCACGCATCTCGGGAAGCACCATCGGCCCGAGAAGCCACGGCCTCGTTCCTGTTCACACGCCCTCTGTCGGTGGGCCGGACGCTGCGGGACCCCTGCCCGGGCCAGTCCCGTTCAGGCCGGGACTCGCTTGGCTGCGGGGAGGGGGCTTGGGGAGGACCGGCCAGGCTGGGGGGTCTGACGGGGAGGTGCCTGCCAGGCTGAACTCACAGTTGGTGTAGATGGGCTTCCGGAACGGTTTCCCCTTGGAGAAGACGAAGGCCACAATGATGCAGTTGATGGTCACCAGCGGCCAGAGGGTGGCGTCCTCGTAGCTCAGCACGCCGAGGTCCTGGGCCGTGGCATTGGCTGTCCCGTTGCCCGGAGCCAGGGGCCGGTTTCCCACAGGGCACCCGCTGGAAGGAGGAGGTTGCCCTGTGGGACTGCCCCCATGCCCACCCTCCGGGGAGCGCCAGGCCCGAGCCCGCCGGGCCCGCTCACGAGCAGCTGCGAGACCGTGGGGCCCGGCGGAGACCAGGCAGAGCCTCGCCTGCCCTGGCGGATCCCCAGACGCCCACAAGGCCCCCAGCCCTGCGGGGAAGCGCCGTGCGCAGCTGGGGCCAGTGGGCCACCTCGTGCCAGAAGGGCCCCCACCTTCCGCGGGGGGGCTCCTCGGACGCTGCTCACCTGTGGGAGCGCAGCTTCGCGTACCAGGGCTGCTGCTTCACGTACAGGAAGGCGAAGACCTGGACGACGAGGGCGAAGCCGACGTTGAGGGTGACGGAGAGCAGCAGCGGGGGCGAGAGGAGCCTCCCGGGGGGCCGGTAGGGGGCCAGGCGGGGGTAGGCGGCGGTCAGGCTCACTGTGGGGGAGGCAGAGCTGGCATCAGCGCTCACGGGGGGCAAGGAAGGGCGGCCCCGGCCGGGGGAGGGAGGGGGAAGGAAGACATGGGCCGGAGCAGCGGGGGCAGGCGGCCCACTCTGGCGACAGCCCCCCCGGGGGGGCAAAAGCCTCCCCACAGAGGCGCCGGTGGCCTGAGCTCGGCATGGGCACGGGGGGCTGTCCCACGGCTGCGGAGGCGCCCCGGGAGCAGATCAGGCGGGCAGCTCGTGGCGGGGCAAAGGCGGGCCCGTGGGGCTGGCGGTGGCCCGAGAGCGCTTGAGCCTCTGGTGCGCCAGCAAGCGACGCGAGTCCTGCCGGCCAGCCACGCGGGGCCAGGGGGGGGCGGTCCAGGGGCCGAGAGCGGGGCGCACGGCTTACTGGTCAGACACACCACCAGGGTGATGCAGACGTCCTGCAGGAGGTACTGGAAATTCCCAAAGATCTGCATTTGCTGAAAGGGCAAATGCAGCTCATGCACCCTCATTCGGCCGCTCAGGTCGCTTCTGCCCCCACCCAGCGTGGACGAGGGGCCATTTCACCCCGGAAATAGCCTGGCCCTTTATCCAGGGGGCTGCCGAGTCTCCCCCAGGTCTGGGACTGTCAAAGCCGGCTGGGCAGAGGCGCCTGCAGCCCCACAAGCCGCGAGGCGCCCCCGACGTGCCTTCCCACCCAGGGCATCTCTCCAGAAGCGCTTATCCACCGGGACCTGGGGGCTTTTCCGCATTTTAGAAACCCGCCAGGCCTATTTTCCAGGAGCAGCCTGGCCTGGAGCGAGGCACGTGCGGCCCCGGAAGCAATCACGCCTCTGCCGTGCCGCCTCCGCCCCCCAAGAACGACAGGCGGCTGCCTGTGGGGGGGGGGGGGGCTGCCACCACCACCTCCCACCACCAGCCAGGTCCGGAGACAGCGACGCGCCATTGTACGCTACGCACCCAGTAGAGGAGAGCCGTGCCAATGAACTGGACCATGCCATACAGGGTCAGGTACTTGAACACCGCGAAGGAAGCCACGAGGGAGGCGCGCCCTTCCCTGGGGGTGCGAAGCGAGACCCTCCTGAAGGCGGGGGAAGCTCGGAGGACGCGGGCAGGAGGGGCGGCCCGTCCCCGGTGGCTGCCAGTGCAGGCCCCCCCCTCCACCAGCTGCCTTGTGCTGGGGGCCCGAGAGCCACGACCCTCTCCGGAGCAAGGAGGCCCCGCAAGCGCACCTGATCAGTTCCGGAACGCACTGGATGTTGGGGGTCTGGGAGGTGAAGGGGGAGGCCACCGAGGCCTCCTGCTCGGACAGGGAGATCCCCGCGTGGGCCGCCTTCAGAGCCTGGAAGAGCCAGAGGTGGCACGTCCCCTCAGGAGGGTGGCCGTGCCTCCCGCGGCCTCCCCGGCAGCCCGGCGAGCAGGGCGGCCTTTCTGTCCCGCAAGGGTCTGGGCCGGCCCGCAAGCCCTGTGTCCTGTGTGGGTGTCCACTCTCCCACGGGGGGCCCGCCCACCCAAACTGCCCCTCCCCAGTGCAGCACGGGTCGAGGGGTGCTTGCATGGGGCAGGGGTGGGAAAGCGAGGGGTGGGCGGCAACGAGCTGCACGTTGTGGCTTACCCCGCAGTCGTTGGCCCCGTCGCCACACATCCCGACGTAGTAGCTGGAGGGCAGAAGAGCGCGGCTGAGCAGCCCCTTGTCCCCCCCACTTGTCCCCTTGTCCCCCCCGCTTGCAGTCCCACTGTCACCAAGGGCAGAGCTGGAAGGGGCCACGAGGGCCCCCGGCCCCAGCCCCGGCCGCACCACGCCACCCCGGCACAATGGCGCTGCAAGCGTGAAAGTGTGCGTGGGTGCGCGCACAGAGTTCCCTGGGAGTCCCCGGCGGGGGTTGTGAAGGCCGTCCTGCGGTGTGGGATGCAATTCCCGGGCCCCGGGCTCAGAGTGTGCGCGTCCGGGACGACCTCGGCCCAGGCTCACAAACGAGCCCACGGATGTCGCCCGCCCGTCACGGGTACAGCATAACCGCCGAAAGCCCTTCCCAAGCGCCTCACCTCCCACGGTGGCCGTGGGGCCACGGAGGGGCCAGAGGCGCTGCGGGGGCTCCCTGGGAGAGGAGGCGGAACGGCGGCCCGCAGGGGCCCCCCGCTCCCCGAGGAGCTGCCGCCACACCGGGGGCATTCAGGAAGCCCCCCCCCCCCCGGCCTCCCTCAACAGAGGACCTACTCCAGTTTCTGAAATTCCTCCACGAGGCTGGACTTCTGTGCCGGAGCCATCCTCGCAAACACCGTTCCGTTCATGAGGACCTGCGGCGGAAGCGCAGAGGCTGCAGGGCCGTGGACCGAGGCGGCCACGCTCCTCGTGCCGGGGAGCCCCGTGCGAGATGCGGTGCGGGCCGGTGAGCCCACAGACACCGCGGGTTGCCCCGGGCGGGAAGGGGGCGCCGCAGCAGCAGCAGCAGCACAGGGCTCCCCGCAACGCGCCCCCTCACCTTTGGCAGAAGGTCGCGGAAGTGCTTCACGAGGACCTGATAGGATCTCCCGCTCAGGGCGAAATGGAAGGCGCTCGCGGGCTCCAGCTCCACGGGGATGCGGCTCTGCAGAAAGCAGGAAGGCTCAAGAGCCGCCTGCCGCTCCTCCTCCACGGACGCGCTCACTCACCTGGCCAGGTGAAGGGCACCTGTCCCCCCCACCGCCGCCACCCTGGACGTAAAGGCCTCATTTGGTCGCTTCCAGTAAGTCTCTGAGCTGTCCCGGCTTCCGGCTTGCCGGAGCCACGGCTGGACGCTTGCAGGCCTTCCAGCTGGCCCGGCCAGCCCACGCAGCGCTCCTCTGACCCGCCAGCCAGTGCGGGGGCTCCCACGGAGCTCCGGAGCGCCCCTTACCTGGCTCCCCGCCGTGCCCGGATGCAGCTCCTCCACCAGCTGCCAGGTAATGGAGGCGGGGCTGGGCTTCTCCGGCTCACAGGCCTCCACCTGGATGATTCGGCTGCCGCTGCAGATCATGCCGGAGTTCCTGGCAACCGCGATGGCCGTCTGAAGATTGTCACCTGGAAGAAGCTCCCAGGGTCGGTTTCCACAGGGGCGTGCCCGGCCCCGAGCCCGCCCCCAGGGGAGCCTGATCCTGACACACAGAGCGGGGCTGTCGATCCAGCGGGCCTGGCCTAATTCTGAGCTCCGAGGCAGCTGGAAGCCAAGGGCCGTCAGCGGGATCGGTTCTTCCTTACAGCAGCAGGAACACGGGGAAAGAAAGCTGCCCCGGGACCTACTTGGCGGCCTCTCGGTATCAAACGAGGTGCCGGGCCCTGAGAAGGAGGCAAATTCTGCACGGCCCCCAGGACGCAGGATGCCTGGCCAGCGGAACGCTGCTGCTGGAAGGGCTCGGCCGGAGATGCGCCCGCCTCATTTTCGGCTTGCAACGCGGAAGGACGCCACGCTGGGAACAGCCAAGGGCCTGGCTGGGAAACCCCAAGCCCGAAGCAGCTGCCCCGCCTGAGCGAGCAGCCCGGCCTCCGCAGTGGCCGCCAGCCTTTGCCCTTTGTTCGGCTGCCTGGGACTCCCCAAGGCGCCCTCAGGATGGGTTGCACAAGAGCGAGAGGCATCCAGGAGTGGGGGATGGGGAACCCCTGGGGCAGGGAAGAGGAGGAAGAGGAGGCAGCGGGCAGCTTGGCCTGAGGAAGCGGCGTGCAAGGGGCAGATCTGGAGGGTGCGGCGTTGTTCAGGGCTGCCCGAGCGAGCCGCTAGAACAGTGGTGGCGGACCCATGGCACGCAGGGCACAGCGGGCACGCAGGGCCGTCTCCATTGGCACACGAGCCAAGCCGCCCCAGCACCGCCCCAGCAGCCGAGCCTCGGATGACGGCGCACACAGGGTGCATGCGCATGCTTGGAAAGGAGACGTGGTGCCAGGCGATGACCTCACGAGCCCCGACCCCTCCGAGCATTCACAAGGCCCGTCAGTGCACTGCCAAGGAAATAGATATTTGCTTGGACTGGCTGTGAGTTGTTTTTTCAAAACTAAAACCTCATTTTCAGGTTTTATTGCAGTGTTGGCACTTTGTGATGAATACTTGGGTTTTGGGTTGCGGTTTGGGCACTCGGTCTCTAAAAGGTTCGCCATCACTGGGTTAGGGTTACAAAATGAGGTGTCCTGGCATGATTTTGATGGTTGGAAGGTGCTTAGAAGGGGCAGAAACGTTGAGCTGTGCAGAAAAAGCTACTCAAGGAAGGCTTTTTCAAAATCACATTATTTTCAAAGGTATTTTACCCCTATACTAGGGTTAGGGGTCTACACCAGGGTAGGAAACAAGGTGTCCTGGCATGATTTTGGTGGTTTCAATGTGTTTAGAAGGGGTAGAAACATTGAGCTGTACAGAAAAAGCTACTCAAGGAATTCTCTTCCAAAATCACATTATTTTCAATTCAACTTTACCCCTATATTAGGGTTAGGGGTGTGAACCAGGGTAGGGTTAGGCCAGTGGTGGCCAACCGATGGCATGCTTGCCACAATGGGTACGCCAAGCCCTCTCTGTCGACACGCAAGCCAATTCGCCACAGCATCACTCCAGCAGCCGAGCATCGGATAACCGCGCGCACAGGGGCCATGGTCAGAAAAGAGTAGTGGCGCCAGGCGATGACGTCACGAGCTGCGCCTCATTAGCCGCGACTCATCTGAGCTTTCGCATGTCCGTTCAATGCACTGCTAATGTGATATATATATATTTGCTTGGACTGGCCGTGTGTTGTTTTTTTAAAGTAAAACCTCAGTTTTCAGGTTTTATTGCAGTGTTGGCGCTTTGTGATAAATCAGTGGGTTTTGGGCTGCAGTGTGGGCACTCCGTCTCTCAGAGGTTCGCCATCACTGCTCCAGGATAGAGGAGGCCCTGCCGGGGCCGGAAGCAAGCCCATGAGGAGCTCCTGCGGACCGGCTGGATGCCACGTGCCACTGCTCCGAGTGGGCCGGGGCTGAAGTGGAGGTGTGGCTGGGTCACTAAGTCCCCCCCCACATTGTGAGGGCAGAGCCGCGGCACCGCCGAGTCCCCTGCCCGACAAGGTACCTGTGACCATCACGCTCCGGATGCGGGCATCGCTGAGCTCCTCCAGGACGGGCACGGTCTCGCTCTTCAGCCGATTCTCCATGACCAAGAGGCCCAGGAAGGTCAGGCCGGCCTCCAGGCTCTCCCTGGGGAGGAGGCAGAAGGCGACAGTGCCGGTTGCGGCCGGAAACTGCAACCCGGCGGGCAAGGAAGACAACGGAGGGCCAGCTTCTTCAGGTCGGCCCCCTGGGGCTGCTCCCAAGTAGGAGTCTGAGGTTGCTGGCCGAGGGCCAGCCACTTCTGTGACCCACGGAGGAGGCGCCACCCCAAAGGCTGCGATGCCGGGAGCTTCAGCTTGGCCAGCAGGCGAGGAAGGCGCGGGGTGTGGGGGGCATGGCAAAGGTGTTGCCAATTGTGTCAGGTGCGCACAAGGAAGGTCAGAGGAGGCTCTCCAGGACCCTGCGCCGCAATGCAGCTGCCCGGTGGGGATCCAGGACGGACACGGGGAAGGCACCTGCTACAAGCTGGAGGCACGGCAGCGAGCCCGCCAGCTTCACGAGGGGCTCCGCCAACCCGTTACTCGCCCCGCGGCTGGGCACTGCCTCAGGATCGGAGGCGGAGTGCCTGAGCCCCCAGCTGCAGGGCCGATGCTGCACTGGCCTCCTGCCCGGGGGGTTCCCGCGGCACCTGGCTGGCCACAAGGCACACGAAATCCCGGACTGGCTGGGCCCTTGGCCTCATCCAGCCTCAGCCGCTTCGAAGGGCTCGCGGCCCGTTTCGCGTGGTTTTCGACCTTCGTTGGCCTCAGAGCCCCGGGCAGAGGCACTGCCTCTCCGCTGGTGCCGGCCGGCCCCGTGCCGGAGATCTGGGACTGGAGCTTTCGCGGCGCTCCGCGTGTTGCAGCCTTGCGAGAGACACGACCGCTCACGCCCGGGGGGAGCAGCATCTCCCCGGGTAAAGCGGGCAAGGGGCCTGCCCCAGACACCGAGAGGCACGTGGACGGCAGCCCCTGGTGCGGCACGGCAGAAGGAGCGCACCTGCGCTGGTTTCCGCAAGGCCGCCCCCAGGTTTCCGTGGCTGGAGCAGCGAGCCCCCTGCGAAAGCGTGTGGGGCAGGCCAGCGCTCTGAAGAAGAGAACTGCAGTTTTCGCTGTTTGACCTGTTTGCCTCTGACAGACAACCGAGAAGCTGCCCTTCCGCCCCGTCCCTTCCTAGAGCAGTTTCCAAGAGCAGCTTCCTTTTGAAAAGTTCGGATGTTTTCTCCAATAATGAAGCACCAACAAACCTTTGGCCAAATGCGCACAGAAGCGCTTGAAAAAGGCCCTGCTGGGGCACCTGCGCAAGTACATGCATGTGACCCGAGCTGCCCTGAACCCGAGCGTAAGGTGGGAAGGGCGGAACGTCAGTGTGGGGGGGCTGGCCTGTGGCCACCTGGCTCAAACGGGCAGCGCCGGCTGCAGCTGACCTGCCACAGGCCTTACCTGTCCACGTCACCCAGGCCGACACCTCCGCTCACGGCGAGCTCCTTGTGTGCCAGGGCAAGGACTCGGAAGCCTTGCGACGTGAAGTATTCAAGCTCCGTTTGGAAGTTGGCTGGCACTGGGTGGAAGGCAGACGCTCCAGTCAGGGAGCGGCAAGAGACCGCGGAGCCGAAGGAGAGGCGCAGTGCCAGGGCAGCCCAGCAGCTTCCAGCGCGCTGGGGCACGGCCGGCCAAGCCGGAGGGCAGGCACCGAGGCGGCCTGGGCGGCGGCAGGGATGGGCACGTCCGGCTCCGCCTGCGTGGCCGGGAGCGCCTTCCGTACTGCCGAGGCGCCACCAGGAGAGCCGCCCTGGGGGGCATTCCTCGCCTTCAGGGTCTTGCGCCAGCCAGGGAAGCAGCGATGCCGCCTGCAGCCAGCGATCGGAATGGCCAGGAGCTCAAGCGGCCTCTCGCTTATTGCTGGGCTGGGCCACGCGTTGGACCGCACGGTCTGCGTCCTATTCCGGCCCGTGTGGCCGGCTGAGCCACTGGCTCTTGCCTCCCGGCTCCGCCCTCAGGGGCCTTGGAGGTTCCTTTCTAGCCACGCAACTCATGGACTTTGGCTGGGTTCACACAACATGCTTACCCGCCCTCAAGTGCTGCACATGGATCGAGCTGTTTTCAACCTATGGGTTGTTGCTGAAATGCAGGGTGGCGCATCGTCTCAGCTCAGCTGCAGCAGCAACCCATGGCTAACCACGGACAACTCCTGCAAGGGAGCCATGGGGCCTGGGCGTGAATGATAGGTTGGCTGTAGTTCATAGTTTGTTCTCACAGCTGGGTTCAGACAACAACCCATGTTTCAGCAACAACCCAATCTTGAGTGCTGGTTCTCAGGCTGTGGGAACCCGGCCACTGGTCCACGGAGGAGCTGTGAAATTGTGCCAGTCCACTGGGAAAGCCCCACCTGCCGGTCGCCACTAAAGCGTGCGGTGGCCGTGCGTCCCCGTGCGAAGGAGGCTGCCAGGCCCTGTGGGAGGGCACGGGCCCCGCGTGATGCGCTCGTTCGCATCCGAATGGGACCGGCGAGCCAGTCAGATCTGCGGAGCTGAGCCAGCCTCTCCTTCTAAGGAGGGGCATGAACCTGGCCAGTGCCACAGCCTGGCGCTTCTGGGGTTGACCCCATATACAAATGATGTATAGTACAAGTATGTATCATTGCACTTGTGTCTGACAGTACCCGCCTGCCCTGCGCTGTGCCCCTAATTTACTAGGAAGAGCGGCCTCTGGCCAATCTAATTTATAGGCAGCTGTAAATCAAGCGTTGCTTGAAGTGAGGCTCCACCCTTGACCCGCCGCTTGACCTTCTGCTGGGTCCGTGAGCGCCTCCTTCCCATGGAAGGCGCTCCTTCTGCCTCCGGGGGCCGCCCTCAGGGACTCCAGGGACCGACCCCATCCGAGTGGGAAGGGAAGGGTTGAGTGAAAAGCAGAGGAGAACCCAAGCGAAAGGGGCCGTCGCTTTTCGCCTGCTCCAAACGCCCCGCCGGCCCGCCGGCCCCTGCAGCACGCCCAGTGATGCGCACGGGGATGCTCCCGCAGGGCTCTGCGCAGCCCCGGACGCGCGTGCGGTGCGCAGCGTGCCCACAGCGGGAGGTGCCGGGGGCTCGCAGCGCCACACCCCCGCTGCTTGTGGCGCCCCAGCCCTTGCGCCGTACCTGTCGCTGGTTCACACAGGTTGGCCACCACCTCTGGGGCTCCTTTCATGTAGAGGTCGAAGACGTCCTTCCCCAGGTCCTGTGTGACGACGGACATGCGCAGCAGAGAGGAGGAAAAGGGGAACTGGCGCAGGATCGCGATTCCTTCCACGGGGGCCTGTGAGGGGGAGCAACAGATGCTCTTCGCCGGACTCCCCAGGCACGGGAACGGCGTGGCCACCCGCCGGGCTGCAGGGGGCTCGGGTCGCGGTTCTGCGAGGCTACATGTGAAGGCCAGTTCGCCATCGCCAATTAGCTTTGCCCCGAGGGAGAGGTGGGGGGTGGCCCCCTCCGACTTCGGCCTGCTCTGCACCCTGTCAGCCTGCCGGCCCTCCTGCCTTTCCAGCATTTCTCTGCACATGTGTTCTCCCACATTCCTGCCCTGGAGCTGCTGGGGAAAAGGGCCCTCAGGCCAACATCTTGGGATATGTTTAATTCAGTAAGCAAGTAAGTCATGAAGTCACAGAGAGTTATTTGCCGACTGAACAGGATCTGCCGGCCTGCCTTCCACGTCATCTCCTTCCTGTCTGTCCAAGTCGCAAGGAGAGCCGAAGAGCAGGGAGCAGTTCCAGCCCGGCCCTGAGCCTGGCTCGTCTTTCCAAGCTGCCCGTCTGTGCACGGAGGGCTCCCGCGGTGCTGCCGGGGGCGACGCAGCGCTGCTTACCTGGGAAGCGTCTGGCCCGGGCTTGACGACGATGTGGCTCTCCAGCAGGCCGGCTGCATCCTCCGCTGGACCGGACTCCTCGAGCTCCTGTGCGGGCGAAGGGGGAGCGACGCCTCGTTGGAGGACGCGCCGGAGAGTCCTGGATGCCGGCAGCCGGCGCCCGCCCTTTCCCCGGGCGGCTGCGGGAGGGAGTGCGCACTCACCCACTTGGTGCCCTCGAACATCTTCAGGTCCAGGGGATCGCCCTGAATCTTCCCGTCCAAGAGGAAGAGGGAGTGGCAGGTCGCCATGGCTCTGCAGAGCGGCCCCCAGGGCAGCGGGCTGCCGGGGAAGCGGAGAACGCCCCCGAAGCTGCAGGGGGGAAGCGGCACGATTCGGGCCCAGACTGCGAGAGCTGCAGGAGGCTGTCTAGGGGAGCCCCCGTAGGCACGACGCAAGCACCGCTCCTCTTCTGGGGATGCTCTGTGCGGCTCCCCCGCCCGGGGGAAAACCTCAGGTAAAGCTCAGTGGGCCGAGGACACAAAACTGCATTAGTCAGCCAGTTTCTGGCTACGGGGTCCATGAGGGAACAGCACAGCCTTCATTGAAGCCCTCCCCCCCCCGCCCTGCAGACTGAGTCCCTTCATCCACCACCACCGTCATTATATCAGCCAAGGAGGATGTGGGAGATCCTAGAAGGCCTGGACATTCCTGGCTGAGACTCCCGGGGGAGCTGGGGGGGCGGGCAGAGGGTGTCATCCCTCAGCTACTCTTGAGTGTGTCACGGACTCGTTCTGACATCTAGTGGGACTAACGGAAGGGGAAGGTGCTCAGCCCGCCCTACCTGGGGCTGCCCGCTCCTTAAGGAGCAGGTTCACTGCGTGGGCACCCTCTCGGATCCTTCATTGTCACCTGAGCTCAGGTGGCCTCGGTGGCAGGCACAGCCCCTGGTGGCCCAGCTCGGCCCCTCTCTGGGCAGGAACAGCCTGGCTTCACTAATCGATGCTCTGGAGGTCTTGGGATCAGACTACTGCAATGCACCCCACATGGGGCTGCCCTTGAAGACTGTTCAGAAGCTGCAGCTTGTACCAGATGTGGCAGCCAGACAAATAACCTGGGCCAGAAGGAACCTCTGTATGGATCAAGGGTTGCTCCTGACTTTTCATGGGTGCAGAGCTGGCCCAGGTGCAGGAACGGTCTCGCAAGCCCTCCGCTCTCTGCAAATCACGTTCTCCAAGCACAGTCAAGATGCCTTACCTCCCTTTTTGGCAAGGGGTGACCCCCCAGAGATCCAGGCCGTCCTCTGTCAGGGTGCCGGTCTAGGTGCAGGGAAAGAGGCAGGGGCTTCAACACCAGGCCCCCGACCTTTCCAGGGGTCCCCGCAGAGCCGGCCAGCCAGATCCCCTCATCAGGGAATGGAGCCGAGGGGGCTGAAGGGCGGGGAAGATGGCTGGGGAAAGGGGAAGGTCTGTGGGGCGCAACTCCCACAGAAGCCAAGGTACGGCTGCCGGCCTTGGCCAGATGCAGTCTCCTGGGGGTCTCGGTGGGTCCCGAAACGGAAGAGCTTTTATCTGGGGCTGCCCGAGGGGCTTCACGCCCAGTCAGGCGTACTGCAGCCCAGGGCTGCTACTGGGGGACAGACGCAGGGGCTGGGGCTGGGGCTGGGGCTGGGCACGAGGGGCTCTCCCGGGCCGCCCGCTCCCGGCCCCGCGCAGCGCAGGGCCCTGCCCCCCGCCCAAGCCAGCCCGCGCCCGGCCCCGGGTCCCCCCCCCCCCCGCGGGAGCACCTTGTCGAAGCACACCAGGTTGATCTGGCCGCACACGTTGATCCGCTGCGGGCTGACGCAGAAGATGCGCTTCCTCGTGAGGCGCCTCTGGGCGCAGACGATGCCCGTGGTCAGAGCGGCGGGGATGGCCGGCGGGACGGCCACGGTCAGCAGCAGAAGGGCCATGGCCACGGTGCTGCTCGCCGGTTGCTGCGGGGAGGCGCCGCGGGATCCTGAGCCGGGCGGGCCCG